GCCACTGGAAACCTTTAAAAATATTTTCTATTTTTATGCTCTGGTTACCCAAACCCTACATGTTCTCCAGTAGGAAGAAAAAGGAGCTAATGCTTATCTAGTTTCTGCTGTGTGCCAGGTTTTCACATGAACCTTCATTTAATCATTGTAATGGCATGAGCAGGTAGGTATTATTATTACCTTCAGTTTACAGGAGAGAAAACCACGACTTGGTATAGTTCCTGACTTCTGCAAAGTCACCAAACAAAGAACCTGCAGGACCAAAACCGGACCAACCTGGGCCTTCCCAGTCCTAAACTCAAGTTCTTCCCAGGGCATCCCATTGCCCTGAAAAGTTAGCGATGATGACAATTTTGAACTGTCCTATCACACCCTGCACGTGTGTGGCATTTACAAATCTCTTACTGCTTGTTATTTTCATGGCTCAGTCCCTGGCACAGGGATGGTTATTTGCGTAGCACAATTGTTGTTATTGTGCCGCCTCACATATTCTTTCTGCCCTGGGCAAACGCGAACAATGATGGACTATATTTATGAAACCAGCAGCTTAGAAGGATGAGCTTCAGATTACCATAAGAATTGTAGTAAGATTTTAAAATATAGTTTAGCACCATCTATATGGAAAGCCCATCTCTCAAAGTCTCATGCAAATAAATTATCTCTTTGTGTATTTGGAGAGTTCCTCATTTTTTTTTTCATAGTCTCTATCACCTCACATTTCTGAACTTTCTAGATGCTGATATTACAGAAACACAGTGTTCTTGAAGCGTTGATACGACAGTTGCCACTAAAAGCTGGAAAATAAGAAAAATAAAAGTAGTCTTGATCTCCTTTAAGGATGGAGTGGGGAGGGGGGTTGGAGTTAGAGTAGGATAGAAAGACGGTTGGTGACAAAGCTGTTTATGATTTAAGGTCTCCTCTTTAGACTTATCCTGGGTTTAGGTTTATCGTAAATCCAGAGCCTCATCTTCAGCTTCCCATGTTCAAGGCACCATTTTAACAAGTTTTCTTGGGTGGTGATTAATATCTGCAGGACACCAGCAACACACCCTAGGAAAAAGCGCATTTGAGTCAGAAGACCTGTGTATAATTCCCAGCGTTGTCATTATGAATTTGGACAAATTCCTCTTCTGTTAAAAAAAGATTAAAAATAACCCTTGTAGAGCTGTTTTGAGGAATAAATGAAATAATGCCCATTAAAACAGCAATTTGCCTGGGTGCAGTGGCTCACACCTATAATCCCAGCACTTGGGAGGCCAAGGCAGGAGGATGGCTTGAGCCCAGGAATTCAAGACCAGCCTGGGCAACACAGCAAGACACTGTCTCAAATTAAATAAATAAATAAATAAATAAATAAATAAATAAAACAAAAAAAAGAAAACAGCAATTGTTGTCTATTAGTATTCAGATTTAAGTCATCAGATACAACTTTATTTACCTAGGGAACATCTACTTTTTCAATGACTGGGATATGTCAGTTGTTCAAAGCACCCCCATTCTTATTTATTTATTTATTTTTATTTGATTGGTACAAAAAAAAAAAGAGAGATGAGGTCTCACTATGTTGCCCAGGCTGGTCTTGAACTCCTGGGCTCATGGAATCCTCCTGCCTCGGCCTTCCAGAGTGCTAGAATTACAGGTGTGAGCCACCTGGTCTGGTCTGGCACCCCTATTTATGTAACTAATATATCTGTCAAACCAACTTAATTGTTGGAGGGTTGCCTGAAGGGTGGAGAGTTAAATAGTGATCTTGAAGAATGGTATCTATAGCTACTACTTATTGAACATCTAGTCCAGGCCAGTCCCTTTGATAGGCCATTATACATGAGCTCTAATCCTTAAACCATCCATATAAGGTAGATATTACTACCTTCAATGTTATAATGAGGAAAATGAGGCTTAGTGACCCAGAGACGTTAAGTTGTCCTAGAAAAAAACAGATAAATTCTTCTTGTCTGCTCTATGCAGCTCATTCTTGTTATAATGAGTTAGATTATAACATATATTCGATTGCTACATTTTCCTCTCCTAAAATAGATTTGGGATATGACCCAGTGCTCTGATGAGATCTGGGACACACATTTGCAAATTGTCATTGGTTTGTCATTTAAAAAAAAAAAAACCTCTCTCAGAAGTTCTAGGCTTTTTTTGGGAGTTTGGCCCATTACTCTCTTCCCTATAGACATGCTCCCATCCCCCATTACATGTCATTAATTTAAACCAGAACCTACGAATGAGGAAAGAAGCCACTACAAATTATTGGTAGTCTGGAGGGGGATGTGGGGCAATTCCCCTATAAAGATTTTAAGCGAGTTTTCCCTTGCTGGGGCATCTGATTTTTTTTATTTTTTGTTAATCAAGACCCAAGCCTGCTGTCAACGCTCTTACTTATAGAAGTTATTTATAAAATAGTTGTTCCTTGATTTTCTTATGGGGATAAAGTGAAGACCCAAATAACAATTATATACGAGATTGTGTTCAGTTCAATTCAACAAACTTTTATAATGTACTTACTGAACATTAGAAGTTGTGCTAGAGTCTATAAATAAAAACATCTGGCCGGGTGCGTTGGCTCACGCCTGTAATCCCAGCGCTTTGGGAAGCCGAGGCAGGCAGATCACTTGAGGTCAGGAGTTCGAGACCAGCCTGGCTAACATGGTGAAACCCCATCTCTACTAGGGAAAAAAAAAAAAAAGACATATATATATATATATATATATATATATATATATATATATATATATAAATTAGCTAGTGTAGTGGCGGGTGCCTGTAATCCCAGCTACTCAGGAGGCTGAGGTACAAGAATCGCTTGAACCCAGGAGGCGGAGGTTGCAGTGAGCCGAGATTGCGCTGTTGCATTCCAGCCTGGGTGACAGAGTGAGACCTTGTCTCAAAAAAAAAAGAAATAAAAATAAAACATTTATAAACTGTGAAAAGTAATACTGTATACATACAAGGTATTATTTATTTGAGATGGGGTCTCTCTGTGTTGCCCAGGCTGAATTTGTGCTCTGTGCAACTGCCTCAGCCTCCTGTGTAGCTGGGACTATAGGCATGTGCCACCATGCCTGGATAAGGTGTGACTTTTGACTTAATATAAATCATGTAAGAGTTATAACAGTAATAATTCCTTACATTTCCTATATGAGAAACTGAAGCTCACATATGAGAAACTGAAGCTCAGAGAGGTTAAATGGTTTGCCTGAGGTCACACTCTAAGTGATTCTTAATATTCTCTTTGCTACTCCCACTGCCTTTCCAGGAAATTATACAGCAGGGATTCCACCTTATTTATCTGAGAGGAATATCTTACATCTCACATGGTTTGGAGGAGTCTCCTTGAATAGCAAGTGAAATTATACTCCCCAAAGCAATTTGCTCCATGATTTTCAGATTTCATAATTTGTGTAGCTACAAGTTTAGGCACTTTCGTATACGTTATTTCATTCATCCTCACAACAACCCTAAGGGTACACAACTAGTGAATGGGAGAGCCAGGACTGGAACCTGGATATTCCTAATGTCCGAGCCCTATTTATTTAACTACACTTTGCGTCTTTGGCTATTAGTTGTATAACCTTGGGCAGATCACTAAGCCTCTGTGACCCTGCATGGCCTCATTTGTAAAGTGAGTATGATGATTATTTCCTTTTAGAATTGTGAAGCTCAAATGTGCTAATATAAAGTAGAAAACACCAGTAGAAACATCAGTTGTGGTTATGGCTGATAAATGTAGCAAAGTGAAGTAATGTAAAACAGTATCTCTCATTCTCTCTTCAGTTAAAGAGATTAACAGCAAAAAAGAAGCCAAGGAAGATGCTCTTGAATAAGTGGTTACTCACCAGACCTATACGGCTTGCTTTTGTTAGCTGGCCTTTGCCAGAAGGGGTCTGAGTATAATTAGGAGTTCCTGGGGAAATTTCTGGAATGGTTTGCTTGTGGCGCCAATAGTCTAAAAACTTAGGTGGGGCTAACTCCATCCTGGGTCTTGTTTGGTTGTCCCTCCTACCACGGGGACTGCTATGATAATGGTAATGGGTGTAGGCCTGATAGAGTTGTGGTTTGTTGTCATGGGAAGCCAACGTAACTAAGAAATTTAGACCAATTCGGGCAAATACATTTATTGAGGTCTCTGTGGTAGGCTCAATTATGAGGGAGAGATAGTAGTGAGTCAGCCCCTTGTCCTCAAGGATTTTACAGTGCAGTGAGGTGGAAACAAGCCCTCAACTAACGCTTACAAATAAGGCAGAGTGTAAAAAAGGTCACATCAGAACAACTTAGAGGTGGGGTGTGGAGTTCCTAGAAGGCGTCTTGAAGTAGGTGGTATATACTCTGAGCCTTTGAAGATGAATTTCAAGTAACTGGGTATTCCAACTGAAGACTGGCAGCATCAGAAGGTGTAGGATGTGTTATGTTTAATATAGGCAGGAACGAAGGCCTTTACTGAGCACATACTGTAATGCTAGGGTCTGACGATATAGAAATATATTGAAAACAGTTCTTGCCATTGAGGAGCTCTTAATCTAGAGGGATAGATAGGTGTAAACTGTCATTAGGGTGATGACTTCACAAGGTAGAGAAGAAAGGTTATAAAGGAGAGTGTGTAACTTTGACATGAGGAGGAGAAAAAGATACTTTGCAAAGGAGGTAATACTTGAATTATGCCCCGAGAAAGAAGGAGGAGTTTGCCAAGTGGACAATGAGAGAAGCTAGGAGCGCTACAGGCACCAGCGTTCCCTTGTTAAACAATCTAAGTGTGACAGGCACCGGGCAAATACATTTTTGCTTCCCCTTTCCAAATGGATTTTGGCTGTGGGAAGGAATGACTTAATGTCTTTTTCAATATACTAGCAGATGGTTAAATAAAGGTTTTACAGTCAGATTTGGATTCTAATTCAGCTATATAATTAGCTATATGACCTTAGTAAGACACTTGTGTTTCAGTTCCTTCATTCATACAATTCAAAAAATAAGAGTCTAGTACAGAGCCTGGCATATATAAAGTGCCATTATTATTTTCTATCATTATCTCATTTAGTCCTTGTAAGCAACTTGGCCTCTGGTTATAATTTCCCCCATTTTTCAGAAGCAGGAGCTCAGCGTAGGTAGGTGGCCTGTCTGAAGTTCACAGGCCAATCCGGAGTCGCCTCCGCAGCCCGTCCGCTTTCATTTTATGTCCGCGCCGGGTTTCCCCAGGCGACCCCAGGGGCAGGCTCTGGTCCAGCGGCTGAAACTCCGGTGCCAGGGTTTGGGCGGCGCCGCGGCCTGCTCCGGCGGGCGGGCAGGCGGGCGGGGCCAGGCGGGGCGGGGCGGGCGTGAGGAGGGAAGTTGTGGAAGTTAGGGGAGACGCCCGCCCGCCCGCCCCGGCCTCGCCTACGGCCGCTCCCTCCGCCTCCTCCCCGCCCCGAGCCCCAGTCAGCCCGTCCTTCCTTCCCTTGCATGATGGAAACACCATGGCTGCGGCGGCCCAGCTTTCTCTGACACAGGTAACGCCACACGCCCGTCCGCTGGGCTCGGCCGGCCGGTGCCCCCTCCCCCACCGCCCTCAGCTTCGTCGACCGGGGCAGCTTCTCGGCTTGTGGGCCGGGCGGCCGGTGTGTGTGAGGGAAAGCGGGTGCGACTGCGGGAGGCGCCCTCCGGAGCCGGAACCCCGCTGCGGCCGCCGCGACCTCGCCCAGGGTCGTCGGGCGCCCCCTGCCCCGCCCCGCGCGGCCTTCGCCACCCTCTGCGCCGCCGCCGTCCGCGCCGCCGCCGAGTGGACTATGACCCGGCCGCGCTCTGCCGGTGCCGGGCTGGTTCGCGGGGGGCAGCTTTCACCCACCCAGGAAGTTTCCTCCCACCGGGCCGCACGCACCCCAGGTGAGCTCCTGTTGAGCTCGCGCGGGCCGGCCGCACCCCCGGGTCGCACGAGGCTTGCTCGCTGGGCCGGCTGCGCGCCGCCCCCAGTTGGAGTTGCCTTCCAGAGCCGGACGCCCAGGTCCCCCAAGCCAGTCTTTCCTCTCCAAACCTGCCTTTCCCCCAGAGTCCGACGGAAACCCTCCCCAGCAATTTAATGTAGTTAGCTTCGCCTCCAAAGAAGTCTCATCCTACTCAACTACCTACTCTGCCAGCCCCTTCCTCCGTTCAGCCTCTCCCCCTCCTCATCAGGTTTCCTTCTGGGTCAGACCCCCGATGCCGCCTTTCCTACCCACGTCTGCTTCCACTTCCACTTCCCCTCGGGGGGCTCCCGCCTGATCGCTGTCCCAGTGGATCCCTTTAATGGGTGTGGTGGCTCCGCCAGTCTTGGTGCCAGGAACGGCCGCCCGGGGAGCACTTCTCCTGGGGGAATCCTCAGCAAAACCTGTCGTCGAGCTTCCCTCTTGCCTCGTTGCTTCCTGTCAAAGTCCAGTCCTTGTGCTTCTCAGAAAACCTCTAAACATCACTCACGCTGGGAACCTGGTCCCTACCTCTCTGTAAAGAAGCCAATTACAATGTAAACATGGTGTCCGGGATGATAAAGTGACAGACACCTGACAGCCCTTTCCTGCTGCTCTGACCCAAACTCGCCCCCACGTCTCCTTCTCAGAAGGTTCTCTCCAGAGCTGGTGGCGTGTGCTTCCCGATTGGGGCCCACCCCGTCTTTCTTGCCTGCATTGTGGTATCTCCCTGCCATCTTGTACTCTCCTTGGCCTAGATTCGTCGGTGCTTCTAAGGCTTTAGCGTTGGGATAGGGGCAAACATTTCGGCAGTGGAGTTTTCTGTGTTTAAAATCAAGAGGCTTTGGGGTGCTTTGCCTAGCACTAGGATAGAGAGAAAAAAATGTTTTCTCAGAAACCGGGAGTCACGTACATGCTTCATGTAAAATAACTAACTCGTGTTTGCAGAATTCTAAGTGTCATAAGGGAAGTCTGTTTCCCAGTTTATTTGGTGGTGGTGGTGTTTGTCCTGTCCTGCCAAGCAGATAACAAGGGGGGAAGAACCCTTTAACATGGAATGTGGTGGTTTAATCTTGGTTATGTATGTTTGGAAGGGTCCTCCCAAAACTCCAATTTGAACAACGACAGCACTGACTTTTAGGTATTCACTTTCTGAGAGTGTAGTTAGTGACTTGCATTAAACAAGATCCCTGTTGGCAGGCTGTTGTTTTCTGGCTCTGTTGGCCAATTCTGGCAGGAGTTTTGCCTTCTTGAAGGTTTTGTGCTCTTGAAGACTTCCGTAAAATTGCATCTCAGTTGTGTACATAATTTATTCTCTCCCTGGGTAATACCATGTTTTTAGCTTCTATTTACTATCATTCATCTCTGGAGAATTGCTTCAGGCTCTGTCAGTTTTATAGCCATTTAAAAAATTTACATATGTTCTTGGGTTATATATTTAGGTATTAATGTGTACACAGTAAGAACGGAGTCAGTAGTAGCTATTATCCTTCAGTGCCTCACACATGAGAGAATATACATTGGTGGTTAATTTTTATTGATAATTCAAATAAGTAAATTCAGAATATTCTGTTTTTAAAACATGAAGAGGCAATAAGAGGAATTACGAAGGCACAGGAAAAAAATAACATTTCCAGTCGCTAGTATACCCTAGTGTGCCTCATTATTTCAAAACTTTGCAGATTTGTGGTTTTTAAATTTAATTTTAATTTTTTATAACTGCCTGAGCCCAATACACTAAGTAACAATGCAGCCTGGTTTCACATTCATTATTGACCCGTTTGTCATCCTCTGTTCCCCCCCACCCCGCCCACCCTCCCAGCACACACATTTAGACATAGGTATACTCAAGTGAGAGATCATTCAGGGCAGGGACATCTTTTAATCCATCTTCTCCCATAGTACCTAGCTGGAAGAAAGTAATTAATAACTGTTGTAGGAATGACTGAAAGCTCTAAAGGGTTCTGTAATAGTTATGGAGATTAAACATGCTCAAGTTAGTTTCTGCTTCTGTTCATATGATGATGATTTTCATACAGCAAATATTTTTAAAGTACCTATTATGTACTAGACACGATACTGGGATTATCTTGTTTATAATTTCTTGCCTTAACCAATTAAGCAAAACTGAGTTTGGGGAAAAAATGTGAAAAATGTTTTAGCTTATGCCTTCCTTCCTTCCTTTTTCCAAGCTTGCCAACCAACCCTTCAACTCCCCAGCCCCCAGAATAAATTACCTAAATTATTATATTCTCGCTTGTAGAGATGATAGAATACTAGAGTACCAGAATGTTAGTTCCAGTTCTGCTTTGGCAACAGCTAACTGTATGGGTTTGGGTTAAATATCCAGGCCTCAGTTTTCTTAACTTTAAAATAGACTCAACAAATATTTGCTGAGCATTTACTATGTGCTAGGAATTACTCTAGGTACTGAGGATATATATACTCATGAACAAAAGTAGTTAACAATTCTTTGACCTTGGAGACAAAACCTGGAACTTATTTCTACTAGAGGAGTTTGAATTAGTTGATCTAAGGACCTTTCCAACTCTTAAGATCCCGTTTTATAGACAGTATTCTATGATTTATAGACCTAGTGGACTTTCTCTGGGTTCTTTAGTGCTTTACAGCCTTAATGTTTTCTAATTCAGTTGTCTTTTCTAGTTGTTCTGTTTACTTCTTGTCAGTGAGAAGTAAAACCTGAAGGAGAAAGATCTTGATTTTTGCTTCTGTTGTTAGATTAGAAAAAAAGCATGTAATACTTCTAAAAAACATTTCCAATAGTCAATTTTACTCCCTAATGCCCGTATCCCTAGTAATAATAATACTGTTAACTTCCCTTTGGGTATTACTATATGCCAGGAATTTTACTACACTTAGAATCTGACAATATGTTTTACAAATTAGAGGAGCTAGTAAGTAAGCTAGTAAGTGGTGGATCTAAGATTTGAACCAAGGTCTATAGGACTTCAAAAGCTGTCTATTTCACTGTACTTCTCTATGTACTATATGCTTGGCATATCCAACGCTCCCTTGTATTTTTTATTCTTTTTTGTCAGCATATGCCATTGTCTTAAGTAGTAAGCCTCTTGAGGATATAAGACATGGTTTTTGCCCCTGAATCTCTAGTGCCTTTAATAGTATCTTGATGATACAATTGTGTGTTCAAAGTTAGTGCTATTGATGATAAAGGTTTTATTTTACTGAGATAGGATTTGAATATTTAAAATAGTCTTTTAGCAATTCAGCTTTATACTGGTTTTCTTGCTTTAGTTTAGCAAGGAATTTTTTTTTTTTTTTTTTTTTTGAGGCAGGATCACACTTTGTCACCCAGGCTGGAGTACAGTGGCATGATCTGGCTCACTGCATCCTGCAACCTGTGTTGAGGATGCAGAGTGAGGCTCAAGGGATCCTCCCATTTCAGCCTCCTGAGTAGCTGGGACTACAAGCATGCATCGCCATGCCCAGCTAATTTTTAAAATTTTTTTGTAGAGACAGGGACTCCCTATATAGTCAGATTCTTTTTTTTTTTTTTTTTTTTTTTTTTAAGTAATAAAAAAGCCCTTAAGTAGGGACTTAATTTTTAAAATCCTGATATATAAATGGTATAAAAATAGTTTTAATGCTTTTTTTGTTAATTACAAGAGTGATACAACTATTACAGAAAACTTGGAAATTAAAGGAAAACATCTCCCATAATTTCACAGTTTGTAGTGTTTATTTTCAGTTTCATTTTTTAAGCAAGTATACAGTGTGTGCTAATAAACATATCATCTTAGTAGTCTGATTTAACAATTATGACAGTAAATACAGGTTAGTTTGAAAATTACAACATGTTCTCAGAAGCAGAAAAGTGATATTGTTCTCAACATGACAGATATTTGAGTTCCTACAATGGGAAAGGCATATTAATGATGTTTTTCTTTTTTGCCTATAATTATGGTTCCATATACTCAGGAAATCTGTTCTTCCTTGGGAGAGATATCTAACCCTTCTCAAGGATGGCTTGAAATGTTCAGCACTTGGGAGGGGTTGTCATAGTTAAAATTAATTAGGAACGGTTAGGTTTATCCAATAGTGAGTCTCTCAGGAATAATCTAAGAGTGCATTCCTTTGTTTTCACTCTATTTGCAGAAAGAATTCTAGTAACAGACTAACGTATGGTAGAAAAAGATTGAGTATCATTAGCAATGAATTGTAGTTCAGAATCTCTGCAATCTCTAATAGTGTGATTTTAAAGGCCCAATCTAAGGTATTTTACTTGTTCTTCAGGGAATTACAAAAAGCACTTTATACACTTGTTTGTGAGTTTGGGGCCTAATAAAATTGGGAGCAGAAAATATAACTGTTGGGTACTGGGCTTAATACCTGTGACACAAGTCCACTGATGTAACAAACCTTCACATGTACCCTTGAACCTAAAATGAAAGTTAAAAAAATCAGAACTCTGGAAACCAAAACCAAGTAAATGGCCTGAGAGAGGTCTGGTTAGTTGGAGAATTGATAGAAATAATAAATGAAAAGTTAATCCAGGCAGAGTTCATTAGGCAAACTCATATGCTGAAGTTTCA